AAGAAAGAAAGAAAAGGAAAGAAAACAAGGGTAGAACCTGGCGAAACAAAACTGTCCTCTCTGAAGTGGACCATGCAATTCAAGGGTCCAGGAAGACCTTACCTGTGCTGGGCTCCCTCGACTCCTCCCCAAAGCCCTGCGTGTCCTTCTTTTTCCTACAAAGAGGAGCAGACAGTGTCCACTTTCAATGGGACATAGAGGCCTCAGCCCCCTGACCCCCAGCTCAGAAGGCCACAAACACTAAGTTTCAGCCCTGGCCCTGCCGCTGACTTGCTGTGTGACCTCGGACGGTTCAATGTCCCTCTCTGGGCCACCACTGCCCGGACAATCACAGCCAGGTCAGCAGCCACCGACAGTTTATAAAGCGGCCCGACAGTGCGGGAGCAGTGCTGAGGGTCCGGGGTGGGGCTATTTCTTGGAGGATGGGTCTTGAGCTCTCCAGGAAGGTGAACAGACGGACACCCAAGGAACAGAGAGTATGGGTTTAAGGTCGCTCAGGGGCGAGGAAGATTATTAACCCAGGCTGGAGGCGTGGACAGAGGGCGGATAGGGCGGGGCCTGCGGCTTGGGGGCGGGGCCTGAGAAATACGCCGAGATCACGCTTATGAGGGCGGGGTTACGGGTTTCCCGGATGGAGCCACAGTCCGGCCGCAGCCTACTCACAGCTTAAAGTTCAGCACTGCCCCAGCATTCATCAGCAACGTCCTGCAGAGGGAGAATTACAGTTACTAGGGGCGCCCCCGCGTCCTGCCTGGCCCTCTCTTCCCAGCCTCTGGTCCCCCTAATTACCCGAACAGCAGGATGTCTCCGATCATCGTTACGGCCAGAGCGTTCGTCAGAACCGGAAGCGGAAGCCCCAGGGAGGGAGGGGAGAGGAGCACAAGCCGACCAATCCTAAAGCAACACTGGCGAGGGCTGGGCCAATCGAAGATCAAGGTCCCACCCTCTGCAGGCCAGGCCCCCTTAGGGGAGCGCGAGCGCCCCACCTTGCTGGGGAGGCCCGGAGAGCCAGAATGGAAGGGGCAGGGTCTCCTGGGGTTGGGATTGGGTCACGTGTTCGAAGCGTGCCGCGCATGCGTGAGGTCTTTAGTGCCGTAGGATTAGCTGGGCAGCAATGCCTGTTCACTTTATGGGGTCTCAAATTGGGCTTCTGGAGAAAAGGAATCCTTTGACTCCTGAGCTGCACAGGGTGCGGGGTCCTGACGCAGTGGGGTCCCTAGAAACGGGTGCCCCAACCAACTGGGCTCTAAAATGAGATCCTCCTGGGCCCCATGGGGAACGGGGGTCCCCACTGAGCTGCCCCCAACAAGACACGGGGGTCCTGACTTGCGGAGCCCCACCGAGGACGGGGTTCCTGATCGAACGGACCCTATGGGGCAGGAAAGTCTTGACGGGGCTCCACAGAGGACTGAGGTCCTAACCGATCTCCACGGGGAGCAGGGGTTCTGATTCATGGGGTCCCACCAGGGCGTGGGGGTCCTCATTGGGCTCCACCGAAGATCGG